TATACAATTGGCAACAATATTAGTAGTATAAGTAGTATGTATCAGAAGGGTTGGGTTAGAGTGAACATTTTTCCGAGTAGCGGAATCCTGACGAGCCTAAAGCTGGTATTGTGAAAAGCATTGCCCACACTTTGTGGGATCGACAGGAGGCTCTGTACAACCCCTTCGATACGGCTCTGAGAGGTCGTCTCTCTCACTTCCCCGCCCTCATGTTTGCTTCATCCCAGACTTGTTTGCCCACTTGGCGCGGCCATACTTGCCTGAGGCAAGGCAGGCCCACATGAGGCCAAAAGTGTGTAGTTCCAGCTCAACGCAGGACTGTCGCACGAGGCGAAGAAGGGAGGGCAGGACATCACTGCCAAACTGTACACTCGAAGTTGATGTTGTGAGCAGAAGATTGGGCCTGTGGGTAAGGGGTTGGCATGCCAACAAAGGGTCTCCGTTGTGAGAACGTCCACGTTCAACTCGGGTGGAAAAGTTACCTTTGAGGGCTGATTCGTGTCTGTCGAGCAAGGAGAACTGAATCCGAGGTCAGTCATCATCATCATCAGCATCAGCAGCAGCAGCAGCATCCATCCGCTCCGGGTTGAGTTCCATCCTCTTGGCACTGGCGTTTTCGTCTCTATAGCCGGCCAAACCCATACATGTCTCAAAAGTGTATGTGTGTGTGGGCGTGTATGTGGATGTGGGGTGGGTGTGAAGAAAGACTGGGTTTCGAAGTCTTCGTTCGTCAGTTAGTCTGTGTCGGCGCTGCGTTAAGAAGAAAAGTCGGTTGCGAGGATTTCGTGAATTGGCTCGCAGCAACCTGTTGTAATGTGTGAAGGCGTCGGCACATGTTGTCTGAGCCTGTGCTAAGCCTGAGTCTGTCGCGTGAGCGAGAAAGCATACTTTGCGGAGCAGCGCAGCAAAACACGCTAAGCAAAGTGTGCACTCGTTGACAGGAAGGCCAAGATGTGGTTGCGCCTCATTTGATTTACAAAAGAGTAGATTTTAGTAGAAAATGGTTGATGCTTTGATACCCTCTGTCACGGAGGGACAGACGAAGGCTTAGCACAGCTTCCTCGAAGTTGCAAGTTGGAGAGATAAGGACACGTTCACACGATCCGACCGTCTATGCTCCTTCAGGCTCCGCTGGGACCAATTCACGAAGTGCCCGCAGCCAACCTTCTCGTTGAAATTGAGAGTCGAGTGACGCGATTTGCAAAAGGCTCCATCAAAATGCAGATGCCAAGACTCAGCGGTTAGCTAATCGAGTTGAACAAAAACATGTCGGGCAGACGAGTTTGCCTCGTCCACTTTTGGTTCTTGTCCTTCTACCTGCAGACTGTTTGTCAGGCAGCGATGCACACTCGTCGGCTCGAGTTGCGGCGACGAGCCTGATTGAGATAGCATCGACTGTCCAGGACTGGACACACTCACTTGTCGCACACTCGTGCCCAAGCGGAAACACGTTCTGTCTGGCGTGGAGCAGGTGCCATCTGAAAGGGGCTTTGATGCTTCCATGGCTCGTGGACAGCGCGACCGTCGGCGAGTGGGTCGTCGAATTCGGCTGTCCGTGTCCCGATGGCCGGACATGACGTGCGACCGTGGCGAGAGTGTTTCACGGCTCCTGGCGCCCAGTTACTGACGAGGAGGAGGGGGAGCAGGAGGAGAGATGGGCAAGAAGACAAGAGGGAGGGCATGCTTACATGTGCTCTCGACAGAGCGTTTCGCTTTTCGTCTTTCGAACACTTTCCACCGACGTAGACGAAGAGGGCCTTCGAAGAGACGATAAAGAAGACGTCTTCATCGTCCACCATCGCTTTAGGCGCCGTCGACTCGGACAGAAGAATCAATTCCATTTTGCCCGACGCGTCGGAGAGCCTAGATCAACAATGAGGAAGAAATGACGCCGATGAGGAAGGGATCAGAGCCAGTGATTTGGGCGCTAGGCCACTCTGTTGTCAAGGTAACAAGTCTACGAGACCAACAGTCAGTGGTAGTGCCTGCGTCGGAACTCGAGTCAGTCTTGGTCGCCTGAGCTGAGGTAAGGACTGAGAATCGGGTTTTCCCACACAATCACAA